ATAATAATTATTTAACGAATAGTCATTGATGAATTTTTTAACTATTTTATTCATATTTTTTCAAACTTATCTTTCTTTTAATTTATTTATGCATTCCTTAATAGTATGGAGGATATGTAAAGATTCGTGATATGCCTTTATCAACCTGAGGTTTTCTTTTGTATTTTTTATTTGATTTGGTGATAAATATATCATTATGTCTAGAATTTCTTTTCCTTGCAATTCTTTTTGCAGCTTATTAAATACATTTTTCAGTTCTTCATCATTTTCCGCCGGCGCTAACTTTGTAATTTTTAAGTTGTTCATTTTGAATAATAACTTCCTCAGAATCAATTTTATCTTGTAAGGATAGGAATTTACACTAGAGGTATTCAGGCAACAGATTAGTTGCTTAGCAAATTAAAAAACTTCATATAAAAAAATTAGCATTTTGATGATAATCTACTGCGTGAAACACCCAAAATGCGCAATCTGATTATTTTGTGTACAAATGCCTTGACAGCACTCGTATCAACAGCAAAAGCGAAGCATAAATTTACAGTGAAATATTCATATATTCGTGAATTTTAATATCATTTAAATTTATCATAAATAAACTCACCTTATTTATTTGTGAATTATATTTTTATGTTTCTTTAAATTTGTTTATTATTTGCACTCTTAATTTTTTTCTTATTATATTATAACAAATAAAATAAATAAAACCACCATCGACCGAATGCAGTTTTGAAACATATTATATAAGAATCAAAACAAAGCAGCAGAATGGCGAAATAAGAAAACAAGAACTGCCGAAAATATTCGCCGTAAGAGAAGCTCAAAGACAAGTAAAATGCACAAGTTGGGTACCGCACACAATATGAAACAAAAAATTACAGAACAGCAGAGTAAACAAGAATTGTGTGAGCTTTTTAAAACTGAACTAAGCAACAAAAAAAGCTGGGAGCGCAACAATCAAACCTACCAACTAAAGAATAGCGCAATCGCATGGTTCACTGACGGCTCGCTTACGGAGAAATGTGCCGAAGTGGGCATAGTCGGACCAGGTAAGAAGCACTGAGAAGCGCTGGGAAAAAATATTAGCATCTTCCAAGCGGAAATTTACGCAATTTTAAAATGCGTGCTCATCAATATTGAACGGAATTACCAACGTAAAAATATTAGAATACTGACAAACAACCAAGCGGGTGACCTCAAGACTGGTGTTAAACTGCCTTGATAAGCTAAATTTGCTTGGCGAAACAAATCAGGTGGCGATTCTTTGGGCACCGGGATATGGACAAACTAGCCAGGAAAGGAGCAGTCACACCGATGATGGGGCCGGAACCTTTTTGTGGACTAGGAAATAGTACGCTCCTATCTCTCATAAAAATAAAGCAGAACCAGAATAAAAAGGATTACTGGGATAATATGCCAGGATTAAAACAATCCAAATCACTTATTGGTACCTATAACAATTAGAGATATCACGATTGTATGAACCTATCAAAAGTAAAACTTAGAATCATCACAAGAATCCTAACAGGGCGCTATAGACTAAAACACCACTTTACAAAACTGGGTATACTTACGGATGCAAACTGCAGATTCTGTGAAGAGAATGAGGAGTCGACCACACATTTGCTGTTAGAATGCCCTGCGCTTATGCACATACGAAATAGGCTCCTAGGAATGCATATCCCTACGGAAGCGGCAATAAAACTCTGTGAAGTAGAGTCTATACTACTTTTTTATTGACACAACAGGGCTTAAAAATCTACTTTAAGCCCAGAAGGGGGCACAATAGACCCGACAGCCGCAGTGTCACAACCCCTAACAATAATAATAATAATGATCGTTTTCATTATTATCATTTTTTCTTTATCTTTTTTTCTATTACGTTTGAACTTGATTTCGAATAACTTATGTGCTATAAAATTAGACGCAAATGCTTGTGGTAGCTTGCAAACAATATAAACAGTATATTATATTATTATAATTACATGTATATTATTTTTGCAAGGAAACATTTTCAGTAAATTAATGAAAAATAATTTACGAAAAATATTGTGAAATATAAATAATCGTGACCAAGAATTTGCTGAGCAAATTGCCAATATATTTCTGAACTCAAATGAGCGGTTTTGCGAGCAACTGATCACAATTTCTTAATTCCCTTACGAAGAAAACCTATTTACATTTGATTTTTTTGTTCTTTTCTTAAGTTCGCTGATTTTGTTTATTTCTTTCCTATCAACCAGGTTTGGTTGGTTGTGCGTTTCGGTTTGGCTTAAGTTCTTACGGCACGCCTAACAGAACCTTAAGCCTACGTAAATCAATATAATACATCATTCAAAACGGTACTTAATGAAATTACTTTGTGAATTATGTAATAATTAAAACTTTTTTAATAACAATCGTACTTTTTTGTATCACTTCCATAGAAATGTGGTGCATCCATTGTATTTAAATTGTTCGCAACACTTTCTAACTTTGGGGAAAAACAAACAAATGTTTTGACAACGGGAGGAAAATAGGAGGAAAAAAGAGACAGTTTTACCGAACGCAAATGGTATAATTTGCAACAAATAGTAACAACAGTTTTCTATTGTTTAATCTTTCAATAAAATGTTCTTAGTTTATATGTTAATAATTTTAAAATCCTAGCTTATGTGTTTCTAAGGGCCATGTTATGCAGAGTGTCTCGGGCACGGCATGAATACAATTGTTGTTGTTTTCAATCTAAATTTTAAATTTGAGAATAAGAGAAAAAACAATACGGCCGTTTAAACTTCGGCATGACAGCCGGCGTATTTGTGCCCCGGCACTAAGGCAAAACAATGTTGTTTAGTAATAAATTTCAAAATTTGCGCCTTTTAGGAGCAAATTACTACAATTCTAATACGTTTTGAAGAAAAAATGGCAGTAAGCAGCACAGAATTTTTTTTATAAATCGCTAATAATATAATGATTACACTTTCCGATTTTAAAGAAACGCGTAAGTACTGTTAAATACTGTTAACAATTTTTATAAGATAATATAATAATAAATTAACATTATTACAGCCTCTATAAGTTTTTTCTTGCTAGTTATTTTTGGTGGCAAATTAAAAGTGAGCATATCTAAATTTCCTTTCAAACTTAGGAACAACCAAGAAATATCAAGATGTAGTAAAAATACAAAATTGGTAATGCTGATGTGACACTCTGCATAACATGCATTTTCGGAATAGCCCGAAAGAGCGTAATTTGCCGTGCCCGAGACACTCTGCATAACATGACCCAAAGTTCCAATAAAGTAACTCACTAAGAAGTTTTAATACTAAACGTAATAGAGATATTTACACTTTCTTGCAAAGTTATTGCAAGGTGCACGAAATGCAAGAATACTATACTAAAATTGCAAGAGTGCTAGAATACCACTGTTACAAAATTGCAACAATTAAGAGTTTTTGAATAAAAAAAAAATTATCGTGAATCATCTACATCGATATGATTTCATGATTCAGCAAACAAAATTAAAAACTTTTGTAAAAATAATCTTCATTCAATAGATTTAAATTTTGATATAATAATTTACAATATATATTTTGTTTACGCGGTGTATTGTTAATAAGCAAATAAGCGACGCAAGGGTATTGTGGTTAACTAAAATGTAAACATATGATTAGCATGTAATTACAAATTATTATACTGTAACCCATAAAGGGAGTAATTTGATGCTACCGTGGTAAGATCACATATATTCAATATGTGTTCCAAAATGTTCTAAAAAATAAATTTTCAAAAGCAAATTCTTTTTGTTAAGCATGTATTACGCACCAAAAGCGATTGTCAAAAATTCTAGTCGTCGCTTGCAATTACACATCAAACTAGTGGACAATTTTTTAAACACATCCCAGAAAAAATACTACAAAATAGGATCATACATGCATTTAGACGAAAATTATGCCTTCATTCCTTAAAATAAATGAATACCGAATTTTGCAAAAATATTAAAATTTTTCGATTTTCATAAACACTTTTTTTTAAATTTCAAATGTTACTATTTACACAATCAAATTTCGCATTTCACAAAAAAGTGTGGGAAAAATCGCTGAAAGCGATCGATGGTGTGTAAAGGGATCTTAATACGAGCTTTACGCTCAAAGTGGAAGGAGTTCCCGTTAGCATGGCCCTAAGCTATCGACACAGAAATGCGTTTATTATATGTGTGTTTTGTATTCGCATTCATAAAACAAAAATTAAATACTTTAGTATTTAGTATTTATTATAGTATTATAGTATAGTATTTATTGCAACAAAACTCACTTTAGTGCAAATTATGTCCACTTATGATATCACGAAAATGTTAGATATGATTGCACAGTGATTTAATCGGCATCTACATCAGATACAATTTGAAAAATTTTTAATGTCGAATGAAAGTACTTTCTATATTTGAAATTCGCCTGCGAACAGAAATTTACATCTTCAGTAGAAATCTTTCTTACAGATGTTAAGAAAGAAAGATCTAAAATGTAACACTGCATTTTAACTTCTAAAAGAAAAATTTCACGCATGCGTCGAAACTTCAAATTCAAGTGAGAACTTTCCAAAATTGTTTAAAGTTAAGTCTAAGAAAGTATTTATAAACAATCTAACAGTTAACGGTTTAATTATTATCCAGTTTAATAAATATTATTTAAATAAAATACATTGAAGCTTTTTATAATTCATTAAAATGCAATAACATGCACGGTTCAATAACTTTTGTTATTTAATATGTATAATAATTACTTTTTATAGAATTAATATTTATGATCAGAAATATGCTTTAAACAGGTTTGTTAAGCACCTGCAACATAAGATCTTGAATTTAGCACCCTATTACATTTACATAAAAAATTCACAAACTTGAATGAGAGCGAATTTTAATTTTGCGGAAAATGTAATAAGTTGTGTTTTGGATTTTATATTTTGGTCATTATAAACACTTTTATTATTAAACTACCTTTTACTATTTCATCTTTAGCACTTACCATAAGCAACGTAATCATGCAATGCCACTTAATTATTTAATACAATTTTTTATTCGTTTATCCAATTTAAGTTTTCATATTATTTCTTGGATAACAGTGTCATACAGCAAAACAAGCACATTAAATCATTTAAATTTCCGCAACAAATTTCTGGTTAAATGAGCAAATTCAACATTTATGCATTAGTTCTTCTTAATTCAAAGAACAATTTTTATACTAGCGACCGCTTTCAACCGAAATTGCATCTTTAATAAATTGCATATAATTAAAGATTATAACATAAACAAAGATAACCGGATCGCGTCCTAAAATATGTGTGCATGGTAACGTTATTATCATATACTCATATCTTTGTACATGCAAATGTTGTTTATATATAGTTGCATGGTCACATTCTTTACTGTCATTGATTAAATTCGGACGCGAACATTTATTTAAATACTTAAATAGCCAAAACTTCGCTCTTTTTATTATTTCAGGATGTTAGTTCATGCAAAGTTGGAAAAAGATGCCAAGAATCATCATAAAGCACAAATGATGACACATCAAACTAAACCATATATGTGTGTACATATGTATGTAAAAATGACAATGTGTTTTACCAACAAAAAATGCAATATCATTTATGTATTGATGGTACATAAATTAAAATATCTGCTTATGTTTATATACAATATAAAACCTTTTTTCTTGTCAGTTTTTGAACAATAGTCGTAAGTACGTATATAAAACACACAAAAATTAAAAAAAAATTGAATAAATTTTTATATAAAAATGACTAATATTTCAATATGTTTCAATATTCGATTATCATTATTTTTAAAATTTGAATACTAAGACATTTTAACCGTCAAGAACATTTTTTAGATTGAGAAGTAGTATATAAGTTTTTTAGAAGTGCTTTGTTGTATCGAATTTTGATGGACAGACTTTTGTTTAACACACCGCATCTTCGTAAAAAAAGTATTTACTAAAAGTATTTTCATTATACATACTTAATATTTTGCTATTAATCGGCGTTTACTTTTGTAAGCATATCGCAAAAGAACAACATAAAAAAATACTGCTTCTGATGGCAACTCTGGAAGAACTAGAAATTTTGTTAGGCTTATGTTATGTTCAGACACAGCTTAATTTCGCAAATATCTTAATTTCAAATTCGTTTCAACGAAATTAAGTTTTTTTTTTATATAAAATTCAGTTTTTTTATATAAAAAACCCCGCCGGTATTGGGGCGGGGTTTTTGACATCTGAGGCTACACTGCAGACAACAACAAAAAAATAATTTCGTGCCATACTTCCTAAGAAAACAATCTACTTCTAATTTCAACTAAAATTCATCATCTATTTATTTACTTCTATTACACCTATAATATACCCTATAACCTAAACATCACTTCCAAATTATTTGTCTCCATTTATTAATTTCTTTACTGCTTAACAACTATTTATTTCAGTTTCTATTTCTATCCTTATAATTATTTCACTCATTTCACTTTTAAAATCTAATATAAAAAAAATATAAAAAAAAAACTAAAAAAAACTAAATTATATACACTAACAAGAATTAACTCGAGCAAAGTAATCACGTTTCTTATCGAATTGTTCAATTTTTTCTTGGTTTGAATTGAAAAAAACTCTCATCATACAAAATGGGAAGCGCTCGATGCCCAACCTTGATGATTACAGCAGCAGCGGTGGGAACTTCCACGCCTAATGAGCTGGAGTTTAGACTACATGTTCTTCCCCTGGGCAAGCCCGCTGTTTCCGCCGCTTTTAGTATTTTTCTCTCCATGTCCCAGTCTATGTTTTTGCTTCTACCAGCATGTGTTACCATCATCTCCTCAAAATTAGGAAATGATGGCAACACCTCGGGCAAGGCCTGGTCTCTAATACTTCTCTGTGACATCTTTTTGTTATATTTTCTTACTTATGCTTTCCTTGCTCAATGATAAAAAAAAAAAAAAATGTTTCAGATGCGGATCTCTCAAAAAAAAATTGAACTCAATGTATGTTATCTCGCAGGGATACAGCTTTGCCCTTAAGAGTGAAGTGTGACACAATCTTAGTACCACCCCTTTAGCCTAGAATATTTCTTAATGCCTCATGTCATCATCTTTGAATATATTGCATTTATATTATATAAACATACAGTGAAGCAAGATCAATTATGGTTACTTGTTGCTTTATTTTTCTATTCAACTGTTTTACATATAAAATTTAGATTTGTTACAAATATCAATGGTACAATATACATGTAATTAAGTTTACAAAAATAATAATAAAAAAAACTGTCTCTTTACATATAAACTTTAGATTATATATAAAATATTAATGATACAATATTCATGTAATTAAATTTACAACCATAAGAATAAAAAAAAGAAAAAAAAAAGTGTCTATGTACATATAAACTTTAGCTTATATATAAAATATTAATGATACGATATTCATGTAATTAAGTTTACAACAATAAGAATAAAAAAAAAAAAAAAACTATCTATATACATATAAACTTTAGATTATATATAAAAATATTAATGCAATTCATTTACTTTCTTAGTTTACAAATTTTTTTTTTAATTGTAATTATATTATATTCCTCGTTGTTTGAACATATGAATTAAAAACTAAATGTTATTTCATCAAAAGAAAGAAAAATTCAAGAATGTCAATAAAAAAAAAATCAAAAAAAAACTTATTTATATAAAGGAAAAAAAAAACAATCTGACGCCCGGTGAAAACTTTAGTCAGGCGTTCGTTTCTTGTACCAAAAAAAAATGAGGTGCGCGTATAGATCATATGATTGTTATCATAACAACAAAATAAGCGAGCAAAAGTAATTCTTTTATCAATAAAAAAAAACATAAATAAATAAAGCAGTTCAAAATACTTACTCCAGCCGCTGTAATGACGTCACCAAAGCTGCCGTTGTATCTAGCTGAAACTTTATATATAAAAAAAATTATGTTTTTTTTTTCTATTTAAACGAAAAATTCCACTATGTTTCTCATAATGCGTTAACCGAATTATGAGTATTTAAACTTTCCAAATTGATTTTTGTATATATATATATAAATAAAAGAAATCAGTCAATAAAAAAAAAAAATTATCGACATCCCGTGTACCGGCCGAGAAAAAAATAAAAAAAATATTATATTACCACTTCATAAATGTAAGATTATTAATTATTGGCATTTAATACACATATTAAATAATGTCTAATTTTTTTAATATAATTATGAAAAGGAAAACACAGAACAACGTCTGAGAGATATAAAAAAAATAAAAAAATATACATAAAAATATTCGGCACTTTAGTTACTGGTTCTGGACGACGATTCTCATAACGGACTGATTGAACCCGGTATAGCTATAAAAATATCTGTTATTATGTTATGTTGTTACGTTGGTACTTCTTTAGGTAACTGAATTGTTGATTATGGAGCTCTTCAACAAAAAAAAGAAACGGCAATGAATCCAGGATCTTCACTTACAGCTCTGCCACTATCTCAAACAGTTCACTTCCTCCGAAATTAAAATTGGACAATGTTAGGAATTTCATGTATGAGGTTTTTCACTTTTTGTTCTTGATATCACTTTTTATATCCCAAAAAAAAATTTTATTACCAATGATTATTTATATATTTTTTTTTCTCTATATTCAGGTAAGTTTTCGTTAATTGATTTTTTTTTTCTTTCTTTTAAAAAATTTTCTTTACATCCAGAAGATCTTACATTGCATTCCAGATCTTAAACCATTCTACACCACTTTTTTTTCCGTTTTAGTTACATTAGTTTTAAAAATTTTCTTTATTATTCAGTAATTAATTTTTCCTTGTTTTTTCCACTAATATTTTTGTTGGCGGTATTTTTACGGAATGTTTTATCTGTTAAATTATTAATTTATTTATTTTTTTTTTCTTTTTTTATTATTAATTTTATTTGATGTCTTTGTAAATTTCTAAGTTAAGCATATTCATGCACTTATATAAAAAAAACAGCTTAAATTTGCAAAGTCTAAAAAAAATCAGTTTTTTTTTTCTTTTAACCAAACTCCGATCACGATCAAAACCAAAAAGACCGAACAACCTACTTGCTATGGCTTTTATAGCCCTCTCGACTAACTGAACATATTTTTCTAGAACATTAATTGTCCTGTTAATTCCAAATTTGGCGCTAAAACTTTTCACCACTTTTCAGTTATTAAGCTCTTCTCTCGTGCATTGCTGTTATTGACTTTTCCTGTCTTTGTTTTGGTTTTTACCTTCAGGTGAATGAACTATTACGCCGCTCACTTTATTTTTGCTTCCATAATAGTATGATTTGCCCTTTTGTATTTACGATGGTTATTCCTGCTTGGTAACACCTCGTTCTCTCAGTAGTCGAACTTGATGCAGCTTTCACTGTAATTCGCCTTGATTGCGCTGATCAAAACAAAAACTAGACGAAAGCAGATGTAAAAGCTTTTACTCATTTTCGGTTTATCAATGTGCGAACAATGCACGTTGAATTTATTTGTTTACAAAGAAATGATGTGATGTTTTTGTGTTAAATTATTTAAGTGTTTTTTTCATTTTAATTTTTGTTTAATTTTAAAGTTTTAATTTTTCTTTTTAAAAAAAATTATTGTAATAAATAAGTGTAATCAAAGTTGGATACCAAATTTCGACGCTTCAGTTTTAAACGACATGCAGAACTACAAACATTTGAAGACTTTTCTGCCTTAATGGAACAACAAAATAAAGAGGAGATCGGCGACGGGTATATAGTTCACTGGACGTCGCGGAAATTCCGAGGTAATGTCGGATTATTTGGCTATTATTACTTGTGGTATTAATATTTTATTCCCTCACAGGCCTACATAACATGAGATGCCCACAGAACTTCAAAATAGGGGTTTTCTGGACACTTCGTTAGAAGTGCAAACGAAGGTCCACAACTTTACACAAAAATTTAGGTAAGTATTTCATAAGTGAAATTAAAAATTACAATAATAATTTGTGCATTGAAACTGTTTTGTTTTTTATTATGTTATATATTTTCATATAATAAAAAGAGATTTAAATGTAATTTTGTTAATTTTTTTAATTATTTTTATAAATTTGCTTGGTTGTTTATTTTAAATCAGGAAAGAACAGCAGTGTGTTGGAGTTTCGGGAGGGGCGCCATCCGACTAGAAATACTTCCATATATTGAAAAGATTTCTAGGCAATTTGCCCATACATAACACTACAAAATTAGTGTTTGAAAGATTGAAGGTGAGTATTCACAAATTTGTTTATGTTTTTCGAAATAATGAATGGGGTTAATAATGATGCATCGTTGCTGTCGCCATGCTCTTCTCCATCGATAGATGCAATATCTACGTCGAAAGATTCTAAAACACCTGGAAAAAAAAATAAACGCAATTTGAATGACACCCTTTTGGAAAAATTTCAGAATCCGAAAGATGTAGAGAACCGTCACACACGAACGCACAGATGCAAGATTCTTGAATTTAATGGAAGAAAGCATTGTTGGTTTATCGAGTATCGCGTCATCAATGGAAAGAGGCTTTTCATATACTCGGCTCACTGGTTACGATGACTCCAGCGATGACTAGCGATAATTATTTATTAATAATAGAACATAATTTATAATTGTTATTATCATTATATTATTATAATTTAGATTAAGTTGCATTCTTTTTTTTTTGTAAATATATAGGATAATTAGATTAAGTTATTTAGTGCTACAAAGTTAAATATTAGGATTAAGTGAATTTCTAATAAAACTTACAACATAGCTACATTTTTAGCTAAACATCGTCTTATTTCTTCTGCATTTAGATCGCCGTCATTTAATAATGAAACTTCTTATTTCTTCTGCATTTAGATCGCCGTCATTTAATAATGAAACTTCTGATTGTTGTCGTTCTGAAACCAGCTGTTGTTTTTTCAGAGCACGTACCCAACTTTTTTTCGCATCATTTTTTTCATTTAAAAAGTGGTGAAGAACACAGCAGGATCGTGTAATTCTGTTCACGTTTTCGATTTTGTTGTCAATGCCCTTCCCTATTCTATGAAACCTTGCCTTAAGTTGCCCAGAAGCATTTTCAACCACTCTTCGACATTTAGATAATTGGTAGTTAAAAGTTTTTTGACCAAGGCTAGCGTTTTCATCAGAAGGGTATGATTTCATAACTTTGCTGGAAAATCGAAACACAGAATCACCGAGGATCAAGACAGGTATTTTGACATCATTAATCACCCTACTTTTGTCTTCTAGAGCAATACAATTTTCTAATTGCCTCTTAAGTGATGAATTTTCAAAAATAGCTGCGTTTCAGCAAACATAATCCGCTCAATTTTACATGCAAAACAAAAACAATGGGGTGAACCAGCAATTGATCTGGTTCACTTTCTGGTTCAATGTGGAATGTATATAAAAGATAAAAATGGAACGTATTTTAATGCAAATGAGGTTGGCAATGCGATGCAACGGTGTAGTAAAATTATAAACAAATCTACATTTACATTTATTTATTATTGATTTTATTTATTTATTATTTATTTTATGTACTTATTTATTTAATATGTCATTAATATTTATTTCTTTGTTTGAAGTAATGTTTTAATTATTACTATTACTATAAATTAAAATTATTAAAATTAATTAAAATTATTACTTTAATTATTTACGTTTTATTATTATTAAAAAAGTGTTGTTTGATAATTTATGAAAATCAATTAATTTGAAAAGAATATATAAACATTAAGTTGAATACATTTATTTAATTAAAACAGAACAATACATAAGGAAACAGGCTCTCCAACATACACGTTTATAAAAAAACCATTGCAAACTGCTTGCAAGTTTAAGCTATATTCATGCTTCCTTTTGAAATAAGCCTAATTGCTTTGGTGAGGTGCATTTATTTTAACATGTGTGCTGTCAATCACGAACGGAAATTTTGCAATTGATATAAGCTAAACACTAGTTCTTTCAATTATTCTCCATACAAAAGCTTTTGGTATGCCAAAACAAATACCAATTTCGCGAAAAGTATTTATATTTGCCATATACCATAAAAATATGTAAATTTCCTTCATTGCTCTCGTTCAATTGTGACCACCACTGTTATTTTGTATTTGCTGATTGGATTTTATTAACAAATCTATTAAAATATGAAACAGAATTAATATAGCAATTGTATTTTTTATGCGCAAATACCAATCAAATAATCTTTAACGGTACAATGATTGATCGTTTCCATAAAATTTCCACTATATCCATGCTGATGCACTTCATCCCTTGAGCTTAATACACTTGGACTAGTGTTTAAAAAGAAACTGGAGAAGTCAGTTTTGCTCGATAATTCTAATAAAATCTGCAATTTCCATTTATTTACTATAGAATTAAATTTAAGTTTTTAAGTAAATACTAAATAAAAACTTACATTTCATACTTCAGACATTTCAACAGATTTTATTTATTTTCCATTTTTTAAATTTTTTGTATTCAAAATTTTCTCACTTATTTTTTTAGCGCCAAAATTATTCACATAAATCAAAAAATTTTGTACACAAACCCAACTGGCATATTTCATGCGTTGCCAATTATTTTCAAACGTGATCCGTATCGTTTCACCAAAGATGATTCAGATCATTGAGCGGATCATGTTTGCTGAAACGCAGCTAATAATAAAGTCTTCACGCACACAAAGGCAAATTACCTTGGTACTACTATATCTACACAGCAGATTAACTTGGAAAGGCCATATCAAAGCTAAAAATAATGAAATTAAGCGTCGCTTTGGAAAACTTCCAGTATATAAAACGGCAATCGCTCCAAGTTGGAAATATGGAGCCGAATATAGGACTCAGCATGTAAATCCAACATTCAAATACTGCAAAGACTACAATCAAAAATACTTAGGACTATCACTGACGCTGACTGGTACTATGACATTCATCGCGATTTAAAGATATCCTTCGTCGCAAGCGTTTTCTGAAAAAATAGTAAAAATCACACAGATAGAATACATTTCCATCCTAACCTAGCAATGAGGCAGCTATGAAATGACGAAACCACTTATAATAGACAATTGAAACGCTTATATCCATCAGAACTATCAACATAGTAGTCCACAACTATCTAATATGTTCATAGTACAATCCTTAATCCTTAAATCTTATACTATTTAATTAAAACAAAATTTTATTATTTATTGTTAATAGTTTATACATGTTATTCTTAACATTGATTTGAATCATTATTTTAATTTCCACTGTGTAAAAATATATACTAGATGCTAAATCTTGGCAGTTGTATAAATAAAGGGAAGATTAAAAAAAAAAGTAGTCAAATACTTGTTACCAATTAGCTGAAAATTTTATACGTCCTTCCAGTAACCGTTCACAATAGACGAATTTTTAGACTTGGCAACCATGCGATTTCAGCTGCTTATTATTTAAGCGGTTTTATAAATGTTAGACTAAATAAGCCAGCAGTATTATTGTTTCATATGTTAATTTACAAATATGCGAATGCCTTATATTGTTTACATTTTCTAATTATAATACAGTTTTTAAAGACATAAGCGAACTTAAAAATATGAAATGTTTTTCAATGTTTTCTTTTACAAATATATGCTATATGAATGTATATAGCAGTTAAAAGATGTTTGAATTCTTCGTCATGCTAAATGTTATATTACGTTTCCACTACGTACTTAGTAAGCCATATAGTAACATTGGTCGTTTACATTATCACAAGTTACTTAAGGAATGGGAAAGAGCTTTTATGTGTCAGAAAGTTCCAGTTATAGAGCTTTTCTTTGTTTACATTTTAATTGTAAACAGCTAACATAAATTTTGTATAGTTTAACGAAAATAATTCAAAATAATAAAATAGAAAAGAACATGCAATGATTTATAAAAAATTACAAATTATTCAAAATCATAAAATCTTTAATGATTACTAGAAACCAAAGAAATGCAGAATTTTGGTAAGTACGGGCAGTAAATATATATAAATAAAGAATAAAATTGAACTGAATTCCTATGTTAGAAAAGAAATAAAAATTTTGAGAAGAGGACTGTTAAAAAAAATTGCCCGTATGTCGGTTGTAAGAAGATAAGGAATCACTAAAAATTAATGAAAGTGAAATTAAATCTTTACTAAAAGCAATTGAATCTAAGTATTCTGACAGAGTCACCTCTCTTATGTCAGTACAAGAAAAATATGAAAAAAAATTGGCTTCGTTTGAGAAAAAAATAATAGACTTGTCTGATAATTTGACTAAAAATGGCAACGAATTAGGTGCTGAATTGGTAAAAACCATCAAAAATAATGAAATTCAAAGCGAAACGTACGCCGCGAAATTAAAGATGAAAAACAATCCAAATATTCCAATAACGCTAAAACCTAAAAATAAGCAATTAAGTGAAGCAACTAAAAATGATTTAAAAACTAAAATAAATCCATCAGAGCTTAATGTTAAAGTTTGTGGTGTTCATTCTAAACATGATGGAAGGGTAACAATAAAATGTGTAACCTCAAAAGAGAGAGAAATTCTTGCAAAAGAAATTAAAAAGAAATTAGGTAAGAACTATGAAATTGAGACACCTGCTATGCGAAACCCTAAAATCCTTATTACCGGCATGAGTGAGCGATTGGAAAATGATAAATTTCTCCAAGCAATAAGAAATCAAAACAATATGGAGATTAAATATATTAAAGTCTTGAAAATATATGAGTCGTTCAAAAATAAAAACATTTTTAACGCGTTAGTTGAATTAGATGGCATAGCTTTCAAGCAAGTTATGAGTGTTCGTAGACTTAATATTGGCTGGGAACGATGCATAGTGTACGAAAACTTGAATTTAATGCGATGCTACAAGTGCTGGGGTTTTAACCATAGAGCGTCTGTTTGTAAGGAAAGTGTGCATGTATGTGCAAAATGCGGTGAAGCTGGCCACATATACAAAGAATGTAAAAGCAGCGTTCTAAGATGTGTAAACTGTATCAAAGCCAAGAAAAATCTAAATCTGAATGATCTCGACATAGACCATGATTCCAGGGATCTAATATGTAAAACCTTACAAAGAAAACTTAGACTGGAAGCTGAAATGACTGATTATCAACTTTGATGGACCACAAAACTTTGTTAAATATATTTAGTAAACAAAATGGCGGTCTTAATGTGGTACATTTTAATGCTAGAAGCCTAACTGATCTAAAATTTGACTACATTAGGATTGTTTTTGAAAACTCCGATGTTGATATCATATGCGTTTCGGAAACTTGGTTTAATAGTGACATCAGTAGCTTATTTCTGTCAATGAACAATTATATTTTATACCGCCATGATAGGAGGCAAAGGAGAGGAGGCGGGGTGGCAATTTATTGCAAGTCTCATTTAAAAAGTAATTTGGTATGTATATCTGGTGAGTCTGACATTGAATTTGTTGTTATAAGCATCAATGTTGGTTTTCAGAAAATATTGGTGGGGTGCGTGTATAATTCACACAAACGCTTTAGTTGCGATCCATTTTTTGATTCACTGCAACCCATTGCGCTTAATTTCAACTTCTTAGCAGTACTTGGCGATTTCAATAATGACCTTCTCTCAAACTGTGGTAATGTTTCCCGTTTAAATGATCTTATTGCCATGTCGGGCTTAAATATTGTCAATAGGACCATACCTACTAGATATGCCAATAATGTTAAGCCTAGTCTTCTGGACA